TTCGGTGGATATATTTAGGTTCTTCCCGAAGATTCCCCCATAGTTGTGACAGCTTTCGCCAAATTTGTTATATTGGGCTCTCATGGCACCTCTTGGCCGTTTTGTTCATGATTTTGAGAGGTGAGCGAGAACATGAGGCTCTCTCTGTAATTGTGACTAATTACTGACTATTCGCAGACAGACACTGATGATAGGTGGCAAAGACAGCAGAAGAACGACAAGCATGCAACTCTGAGTTTAGTAATTATTCGTGACACCACAGGTAGGACCAAAATTTTTCCCATTTATATTATTTCTTGCAGCAGCAAGACATTTATCGGAATCATATAATCGCGAAGTGAGCATAGCGAGATTCTTGTGCCGCCATGAGCCATTATCTAGAGCGCAGAAAAGGGTGGAAGGCAATATATTTATTCAGTGCGTATCTATCTTGCTATTTCAACTACCATTTTCGATTCAGCTGAGCTTTAGTATTTCTTCCTCACACTTGATTGGTCTCATTTGACTATCGCCAGACCCCGGATGTGACTCTGCGCTTTCCTGCACACCTCAATGCTCATCACATCACCCACGCAGCACTTCGGCAAATGAATACCGTTAACGAAGATATTACTCAATGAGGATGCCTATTATGTACACGAATCCGAATTGAATGTGATCAGCTGAATTGTTACCTCATAAAATTTCACTTCTCTGCTCATACGATTACCTCGACTACTGACAGGACCCTTGTGCTGTGCCAGTAAGGATAAGGAGGCTACGAATAACTGATTTTAGCTTAATGACAGAGGAGCCGTCATTAAGGATGGCTATTTCGTGCGTCAGAAACCTAACGAACAATCGGGTCAATTTCTAATCCTAGTAGCAGCACAGATTCTGAAAGCGCCATTTTCTGCACCAAAATCAAACCGTGCTCATCAGTGGAAGGGTTTCCAATTTATCTTGTCGGGAAAGATTGAACTCGGTTCCCCGATTTTAGGCTTCATGCCTTTCCTTACAGTATCACCCTGCTCTCCTCATGAAAGCCGTACGAGCAGAACCGTTTTTAAGTTTAAAAAAAAACGTAGAATTCACCTAACATTGCTAGAGTATAATAGGATACGAATAGAACTATGGCTATGCCGTTGATCAGAAAGGAAATCCAGCATCTTGGCAGTTTCTCATAATCGGAAATGAAACGTGATGCGAACGAACGCTCGGTGATCATCGCCGGAATCATCGTCAACAACGAACACAGCGAGGCAAATCGTACAGCCACTGACACGAAAACGACCAAATCGAACTTATCCTCTGAAAGTGCACCGTTGGCGATCCACAAAAGATTACAAAAATAAGCTCAACCTATGTTTGCTGAAATGAAAACGGCTTGTGATGAAATTCATCTTTTGTAACCGTCAGAGCTCGAGATCGTCCGGCGCTGCGCCGTGATTGGAAACCAAAAAAAAGGAAAAGTAGTAACACAGGAAAGGTGATCACCTGGTCTTTTGATTATTCTTGTTTCGTAGAGTATGGCGAATATTCGTGAGGCCTCTGATACAGCAGTGGCAATAAGGTGCATCTAAAAATAAGTACTGGTTGGTCTGCCTTAGGATAAGCACTGTTTGACAACCTGTTTACTCATTCTTTCTTTTCCATAGAGAATTCTATGGGTTGCGTTCCTTTCATGAGACGACGATATTGGGGCATAGTCGAGACTTCCAAGAGGAAATTGGGGTACCAGCAAAACGCATACTAGTAATCAGTCAAGTTTGATTTGGGTTATTTGAACAAGTGGACTTATTTCAACAAGGCCCGCGAATATCTGGCAAATAAAGCCGAGTAGTTTGAACTTCAGTCTCCAACCTCAACATTAATCAGAAGGGCTGAAATCAGCACTGAGTTGCACCACATTCAAAAAGTGAAGATTAAAAGGATAAAGTCTTCAGGCATTGTCAATCCTGTCTGAGGGATGCGCCGAGCATCCAATTGTCCAATTGTCCAATTCGGAATCGTAGCGGCTTACTGGATGCGTATGTAGCCTTTACAATAACTTGCGGTGGCCAGCCGATGTACAAGTCAGTGCTTTTATCCTCCCAGACGAGTCAAGCACCAATGAACCTACCCCGGAGGGATAGAAGGCCTTGTTGGCCTAGGCGGATATCTAACCAGGACTGGAACCCGCGACTATTCGGGTGTGACAGTGCACTTGCCACTACGTCATCCCCCTATCCTTATACATCAGGAAATTATGAAGACTAATCGACTGACTAATTATTGATTCGCATAGTGGAAGTCTTCATGACGGATAGCTCTATTGAGAGAAGATGAGGAAAAAGGTCGCAAATTCCCAAACTATTGTATCCTTTTGATCGAAATAAATTCAATGTTGTACCAGGTTACGACAATGAAATAGATATTCGGACGAGATTTCAACATGCAGGGCAACATTTGTTGGCTATAATCGTATATCACCGAACAACATTCACAACAAACGAGTGCTATTTTGAATGATTTCATCATTCAAAAGGTCAGACATGTACTTTCCTATGAGAACTACAGGGTATTGTAATTGAAATCGGTTTCTACCTGCTGAACCGCTTTTTGCCAGCCGCTGCCTGTGGGCCGTTTTAGAAGCCATTGATTCTGACCAAACAGATATCTATGAAACAATTTCAATGGACCTTCAAGAAAGTAGAAGCTGATGGGTCTTATGTTATTTGAGCTGGGACATACTTCTGACCGCTTTCCTCCTCTTCCGAATATTTGAGTGCGACAGTTAAGATTGTCATGCTGATTACTGCTCTTCAATGAGCTTCAAATTACTCTCTAGAGAACATATCATCTAGCACTACCTATCCTGAGCCTAATGGCATGTTCATGAAAAAAACATTTGTCAGACTCCTTGTTGTAGTTTTTTACCACAAAAATCGTTACACAAGTTACCTGCATAATTCTGATAAGATTCCTATGAAAAAGACGAACGGATCTGCCGAGCGCTCGTATAAGTAGGAACACTCCAGGAAGAGTAATCAGAATAAAGCCCAGTTCAGTGCCATAAAAAATACGAAAGCCTGGGTATATCCCGAAGGTTTCACCAGGAAATATCACCGGTACGAAAAGGGTCAGGCCACTTAGAAGTGTTACCAACATCGTTGTGGCTTGATAAGAGGCCGGAGCACTCACCCGCCTGTATCCCCTTTGATCCCGCCCACCTTCGATGTCGTTGTTTCCGGACGACAGCTCATTCTCTCCATCTTTGGGCAAATCAGTCAAGAAAGGAAGCGATAGCTGTTCCGTCATTACTCTGGAGATTCTCGCCTGAAAGTGAAAAGTGATGACGATCCTTTTCTATGCGTTCTCAACCACCCAATCCCCCAAATGAGCTCATCTGAACCAGATAAATTGTTACCAATGTTTCAGAATGCCCGAAGGAAGTCGAAGAAAGCAAGCTGTAGAAGGAGTTTTGTCCTGTTTACTGTTATACTGTTTTACCGTACAGGTTTGTTATGATGAAACCGCTTTATTAGGTCGACGTTTCGAACAACTCGTCGTCTTTAAAGACCTGAAAGTAGTTCGGAGCTCCTGATCTGTGACTTTCCCGACCAAGCGCCTAAATGCGCTCGGCCAGTTGCAACAAATCCCAGAAACTCAAACACCGAAACATTCCTGCCAAGAAACCAACCTTCTGCGATTTCACCGCCGCTATCGACCCACTTCATTTCGTGAACAACAGGGGAACAATAAGACACCATTGACGGTCGTGAGATAGGGATTGCGCGGTGATCTCAAACCCCACAGAAGGGAATGAATGGCAGAAGTTCACTCGTTATCCACTCTTTCCGGTTGTTCAGCTTAGGATTTCTCCCGCAGATGTGCAACGCTTCCGAAATCTTTCTGGCACCGAACTCATTCTCGTAGCCTAGAATTTTGCATTTAATATCAAAATCATCGCCCTGATGTGCTTCTAGTCGATGTCCCCCAAGCGGTGTGATCCTATTGAAATCCTTTGTGCTTAAGTGTGAGCAAGTAGTTCTTTTTGAGTAGTCGATTATGAATAGTTATCATGAATGTAATCAAAGTTATAATGAAATCAGTTCGGGCATTGCTTAAGATCATTTCCGTCCTGATTGAAAGAAAACCCTCGTAATCAAAGAAACAAAGCTCAAACGTCATATGTCGGGCTTTTTCACTACTCCCACCCATCCTTATGAGAGCAAAATCAACGTAGGGGTTCTAGACATAACATTTTCGACAATTGCAACGGGTTCATAGTTTGTAAAACAGTACTCTTTGCTTGTAGTTTCCAACAATATTATCCTTGATGAGGACTAGGGTTCAGAAAATGATAGCACGGACGCGGATAGCAAGACTTCAGGGCCGTTCATATGAGGAGCGATTTATAAGGTTTCCCTGTTCGAAGAAGCTCCAGCTTCACAATGACATCTGTCAGAGTCTCTATCGAAGGAGCATCGCAAGAACATACCCTATCACATACGAAAACATCGGTTGCTCATGTTTCAGCTGAGGAGGAACTTCTTTTTTCATTAGATAAATAATATTCTAGTGAAAAGAGCACAGGCCCAATAGATTTTCATACTATCATTTTATTCGTGCTCGGGAAATTTTAGGACTCTGCCCCTGCTATAGGGTGAAGGTGGTGTAGTGGCGTATAGGATCAAATCCCGGAGTGAAATAAGCGTAGGCTGAAAAGAGACATCCATCTTCCCAGCCCTTTCAATCTCCCAGTCAAATCTGGTTAACTTGTGCCAGATTTTACTGGGAGGATGAAAGCACTGGTTTGTACATGGGCTGCCCACCGCAAGTCGTTGTGAAGGCCACACACGTTTCTACGATTCTGTTGGAAGTTGAATTCGGAGACGCATACCTAATACGGAATTGATTAATGCCAAGAATTTTGTCCGTTATCCTTTTATCTTTCTGGAAATCATACCCATAGGTTGCCCGATTACCTTATTCACTCATACTATGTAGCAGCTCTCCAATGACAACTCTCTCTGACAGTAGTTAAGCTGGCGCAACAAAAATCAACGCCTGATTGCTGAGCGACGCCGACCGTTGATACTCATATGCAAAAGAAGTACATCTCGAGCATTGGCGGCTAGTACATTAACTAATCACTCCTCCTAGAAAATGCCTGCTCATATCACAAGCGCGGCCATGCCCAATGAATACTGGCTGATTTCCATAGCATGTGTTGAAAGGCACACTATAAGTCCTCCTAATCAAAGCGGGATCCATGAAAAAGGGTTGTTAGCTTGAGTATCCCATTCATACTGCAGAACAAAAAATGTGATAGGATGGGTCATTCATTTGTCATTATACGTGGGTACGTGGAGAGTGAGAGGTTCACTTGATTCCTAA